GGAAGGCGGGCTACAGGGAAGCAGGAGCGACCCGCACCTGAGCTCCAGCTCACACACCATGCACACCTGCGCAGCGCTGCCGTTTCCACTCCTAGCGACATGGTCCACTTTGCAATGAGGTGGTCAATGGGAAGGGACCACAGTTGAAACCTGTGTCTCAAAACCAGTGCTTTAGTTAGGTAGTGCGCAGACACCGAGGATCCAGAAGCAACCAGCGCTGCGGTGAGCTGCGAGCTTCAGGAGAGACACTGAAGAAAGTCTTTATCCACAGATCAATGGCCAAACTTGTAAATCCAGAAGCATTTGAAGATGTTGGTTTTAGCCAGAAATACAGAGCAGGAAAGATACATGCCAAAACATTAAAACATCTATTAGGTGGGTGGAATTGGAAGAGATAAGAAAACTTAATCAAGAAGGCTGCCTAACCCTTTTACGTATACTTTATCAAAAATTCATAGATTGCTTAATTTTTTTTCTTCACTGTGATTTCATCCCATGGAAATTACAGTATTCATTTAAGACAAAGGAGATATTCAATTCAGGAGTACATTTATGTTGAGTAAGTTCAAATTTACTACAGAATTGGTTGCTTAAAGAATTCAGAGGCATCCAACATGTATATTTAAAATCACTTGTAATTTAAATCCTACGTTGAGGCCGTATCCCTATTCCCACTACTCCCCTAGACCTAGCTGCATGTATTTATGGAACGAGGCTCCTCAACAACAAGTTCTGGGGAGAAGACATCTAAAGGTACAAAACTGTTTGCATTACAAGTCACCAGAGCTCCCTTAAATTCTGCCATACATGGAAACTCCTTCAAACCATGTTAGAAATACACCAATGGTCAGTTTGCTCAACTAAAGACGTGAGAAGTTTCTAAAAATACATAATTAGGAGATAAACAATGCAAGTCGGAAACCCTGAAAGATTTCCAGGACCAGTCCCTGCAATCGGAGAGATTGTTGGTGACTGTGAACACTCCTCATAACGGTTAATGGGACTCACTGTGTCCAAGAACATGGCCTCACTGCTCTCTTGTGGAAGCTTCTGTGAGATATTTTCATCCCCTGAGGTGAAATCTGCCATGGATCTCCCAGGGGCACATGGTGAGGGTCTGGGGTGCCACCCAGACCTGGCTTTGCCTAGATCCTGGCCTGCTCTCCACACTAATAAATGCTTTGAAGCCCTGACACCTCCTACCTAGGTGTTCCATCCAGATGCTTCCAGAGACCCCTTCTCTGTTTCTTCCAAAATATTGAGTAATAGATGGCAAAAAAGTGGAGCAAAATATGACTTGGGCAAAATGAGCCCAAAGGTGAAGAATGGCTCTTTCAGATGGTTTTGGACCTTTCATATTCAAAGTTTGGTGAGAAAAGACACTCAACTGCCAAAGTGTGTGAAGCCCTGAGCAACCCATTGTGCTCCAGTGTTGCTGGAGTCCCACCTTTGTCCCACCCCCCTGGTGGCCTGCCACAACACATGGGTGTTTTTCAACTTTAATCTGAATGTCTTGTGTCAGTAAAAGAGCCCTGAAATATCTCAAGAACAAAGGACATGTTTCACATCTCGAATCATGCCTTAAGTTTTATTCCAAGGCTGAGAAGAGTATGCATACATTTTATGATGTAGAGAATTTTCTAGAATTTTTAGCAAAGTTTTGTAGCTCTTATAAATGTAGAGATCTGGCTTTAAACTGCCCTCTGGCTTTCCCCTCCTCCCATTTGAGGTCTTGTTATTCCTCTTGGCCCCATTCTTACAAGCCATAAACAGTTTTCTCTAAACATCATTAAAGCTTGAAAGATGGTGAGAGATTCTGGCTTTGTCAGAATTGTTTTCCCTTCACTAATGGAGACATTTTGAGAGTCTGTTTTCCATGTCAAAGCAGGTATGGTTTTTAAATGAGCGTGCTGCTCAAACATTAAGAAACAGGAACCATTTATCAGAATGCTGTGCCTGTGCTGTAGCTGTCCTGGACTGAATTCTTCTGTGCCTCAAGTTTTACTTGCAGGTCATGTGTATGCAAACCTATTGTATTCCTTCCTAGTTCCACAACTCTATGCCTGGCATACATCAGTGCTTCTCCTTACACACATGGGTGTGCACATGAAGTGAAGTCCTGGGCTGCAGCCCTCGCAGCAGCAAGAGACACCTTTCACTTCTGTGCTGGTACAATATCTCCAGTGGCAAAAGTTCTGTAAATCCAGTTCTTACCCAGAAAGGATAAAAGTCACATTTCATACCTACTAATGTTGTAGTGTTGCTCAGATTTCAGATGTCATCTGCTAATTCAGGCATTTGGCATAGGAATCTGACTTCCAGCTACATCTTTCGTTATTTTGTTTCAACTGACAACAATGAGGTTCTTACTCATTCATTTAATATCTCAGTTTTCTTTCCCTCCTGTTTTCTTTCCTTGCCTACCTTCTTTTATTTTAAGAACCATGAGTAAAGTATTCGATTCATTGGTAAGAAAAAGAATAACTTCCATGTAGTGTGTAATGGAACAAGGTAACAATACTATCTTTTTAATGACAGAAAAGTCAATCTAATGAATCACCAGAATAGAAATGGCCTAAGGAATGACTTTTTCCTCTACTGTGTTATTTGACATTTAGCTTAGCAGTACCAACATATTCCACAGATTGAAGAATTTCTCTATGCAGGAAAAAAGACAATCATTAACATGGGCTACGTGTTCTGTGTATCTATGAAAACAATTTTTGGTTTTTAACTTCCTTGCAGAAGTCGTTTTACTATTATAGTTCATTATCTGATATTCAGCAGAAGACCTCTACTACAAGCAAAATGGAACAAGATGTTGATCATAAAGGACCAGAGACTGAATTTATCTTGTGAAATCAATCTGTGCACAATGTCAATGCTCACGTGTGTGACAGGAAGACTGCTACGAGAACAAGCGGACGGAGGGAAGGCATCGTCCTGACTGGTGCTCAGCTTTGCAAAGGGTCACACACTTGCAATAATAAATACTAGACACTGAGATGATTCTCTTGTAATAGGAGCAAACGAATATGACAAGAAAAGCTTCCTGTGGGGAGGACAGGCTACTTGGCACTTCCTCAGAGAGGAAGAGTGAGGATTGGTCCTGCCCTCTGCCTCTTCCACTCTGTTCAGTTTTGTGTCCATATCTAAGGCTGGATTGTTTCCCACGGCTTTTGGAACTGCCTTTTGGGATCTCACCTCTCATATAAGCCAATGGTGGTTTCTTTTCTTTTCTTGCCATTCTCTCTTAAAAAAAAAAAACCAAAACATGGGCAAATGGAAGCTTCTGATCCGTTATGTTTAAAAAGGACTTTAATCAATTGCAAAATATATTAAGAGGAAAAGCTGTCTTTCAAGGATGCTGTTCGCCGTCATTTGGATAGTGTTTATAAATAGGAACTTCTTGTCTCACCAGGGAAAGTGGGGGGCTCTTGCGTCTACCCATGCATCATTTTCCTTGAGAAGGGAAATGCCCGAGGTACCCACAGGAGCAGCAGGAGGAATGTTGAAGAGATGGAGTGTGCAGAGGTCTTTCCATAGCAGAGAAAGGGAAAGTCCAAGTCCTAATAACTGTTTCCCTGGTCATTTACTTAAGATCCTGAAAAGGCCATTTGAATAACAGCTGGCCCCTTGAGTTCTTCCCCAGCAGTCCACCTCTGTCCTGCCCGTTCCCCCAGCATCTCACCTCCAGCACCATTGAAATCTCTAACCCACCGGGACAGAGGCTATCAAAACACTCACTTCCACAAATGTTTGACAGTCAACAACTCAGTGCAGTTAGCTTGTCCCCCCAGAGTCACCCAACTCACCCACTCCTGTCCCCAGAAGAGCTCCATGTTTACTTAAATTAAAATGCAGTGCCTGTGCATATGTGTACACACATGTGAATGCATGTGTGTGGGGAAAAAAACAGTTTTTAAAAAAGGAACAAAAACTGGAGAATTTTGCATTTTTGGTGTTTTTTTTTCTTGTATTTGCGCAGACCATTTTAGGATTTTTCAGTCTCAACAAAACACTATTTAAAACAAAGAATCTAGTAAAATATTTGTGCATGTACTGCTAAACAATTCTAGCAATTTTATTAAGCAATACCTTTATTATTTTTTGAATATTCTTAACAGACTGGAACAAAACATTTTTTATTCAAAACAAAATATGCATACTGTACGCATGTTGCAGGGGTTAGTATGATGCAGAGGGTAAAGTCTGTTTGAACAAAACAAATGCCTGGGGGATTTCATAGCTATAAAGTCAATAACTAAATTTTGTTCGCTAAGAGGACCTTTTCTATGGATTTCCTTCATCTCCCAGCCACACAGAAACCTCCCAAAGTGCACTTCCCAAGTATACTTAGAGAATAGGAAGGAATGTAAAGTGTTTTTTTTAATTATTTGTTTTGTTTGTTTGTTTGTTTTTTAAAAACAGCCCTTATTAACTCTTCCTTCCAGTGATTCTACTGTAAACTCATAAAAGCCATTTTTAGAAAGCAAATTCATATACACTCAGCAGGTGAAATGTTCCCACAAAGAAAAAAAAAATACAAACAGAGTGATCAGACTTCTCTCTTCCTCAAGTCCCTAGAGTGTGTTGGAGTGATAAAGTTTTTGCACTGTAATAAAAATGGCTGACCTATTTATTTTCTTTAAAAAAAGTAGTTGTTCCTCTGTGATAATGCAGAATTGCATACACTTTATACCTGGAATAATTCAAAACCCTATGTTGGGGAAATACTGGGATACAACTGTATATAATGTGTATACTGCAGATGTTGGAGCATTTCTAGAATCTCTTCCACCACGATAAAGGAGGAAAAGTCCTGTTTGTGCCCTCCTTGGTCTCTCTGACACCATCACAATGGCCCTAATGTGCTCGTAGATTACGGAGCTGAACTCAGTGAGAGCCTCCTCCATGGTCAAGGGGAGGCCCTGCCCGCTCCCTGCTGCGGTGCTGGACGCTGCTCCTGTCCAACTGACCAGCAAGAAAGGACTGGATTGCTTGGGAATGGGAACTGGAGCAACTCAGTTCATGATAACTTTTGTGTCTTTGTTTTGTTTTCAACGTAAATATGTGTTACTGCCGGATTCCACTCTGGTGGAACACACTGCTTGTTCAGCTGGAAGGGAACCCCCACCGGCCCCCTGGGCTCTGCTCCCGACGGGCTGTGCAAGGGCGTGCACACCCATCACTGTAGTTACACAGACAGAAGCAAGCGGATGTTGTCTGCTTAGGGGACGAGAAGAGGGAGGGGACAAAGGGCTGGGAAGGGTGTGGGATTCATGGGTAGAGGGAGACTTAGGGAATTTTTTTATTTTTATTTTTTGTTGTTTTCTTTTTTTTGTCTTTTTTCTCTTTTTATTCTTTTTTTGTTGTTGTAGTTGTTTTTTGCTATACCGTGAGGTCATAGCATCATCCTCTAATAGAAACTGACAGGACATGAAGACAGAACTACCTGATGGACACACACGATGACTAGAAATAGAGAGACAGCGAAAAGACTTCGTTCACCTCGGAGAAACCATCCCGAAAAATAAGTCCTGTATTAACAAGTGCAGAGAAATCAACAAACAAACAAACCCAGACCGAAACGAAAGCAAATAAAACCTCCAAACATTAAAACACAGTGTATAAAATGGTGTGAGAAATTGAAAGTCACTTCACAGCCTTTTAGTCAATAAAACGCTGCGGGGTGTCCTTTTTGGAATCAGGCCCATCTTCTGAATTTTACCCTTCAGGCCTTGCAAGAAGAGATCCAGGGTAAAAGCACCCAGTTTCTGGTGGGTGGGCAGCAGTCGTTGCTCTGGTGGGCCGCTGGCTGGGGACGCCGTCCCCCTAGTCCTCGTTGGTGGCGTTTTCCTCCAGCGAGGTGATGCCACCCAGGCCCAGGCCCGCGGCGTTGTGCGCCGCGGAGGCGGTGAGCACTGTGTGTAGGAGAATCAGTACCAGGACACACAGCTTGAGTCTGCCACTGCACAGTCTGGTCGCCGAGGACACGGTGAGCGACGTCCTGTGGCAGGCGTCACTTCGCTGGGGCCTCCCTCTGCGGGGGAGGTCGGACTGCTCCCCTCTCCGGACGTCACAGCATTGTGGTTCATCATTGGTGAGGAAGGTTTCGTAGAGCCCTGCGGGGAGAAGGGCACAGGTTAGCGCGGGCCACGGGCGGCAGGAGCGCGGGCTGCATTGGCACCCCATCCACAACCTAACGCTGAGCTTGGTAAGGGCGGCACCTCAGCAGCCCCGAGCCGGCCCTGGCCTCGAGCTCCGGGTGTTCTCGGGTATTCCTGCCACTTGTACCAAGTGCTGGTGGGTCCTGAATACCGAAAAAAGATGTCATCAGGTCGCAGTCCGAACCTGTGGTTCTGGACTGACTTGGAGAGCAAAGACACTCGGCTGCCCTTTCCCCTGCACCCCTGAATGCCATGCATGGGCTAACGCTGGCTGCGCTAAGGGAGGCCACCACCAGTGGTCATGGTGCGCTTCCAGGAAACACGGAGGCCAGCGGTTTGTGCTCACGAACTTCCTCTTGCCTGGTACGAGCAGAACCATCCGTGCCGCTAATGGTGCTCGGGTGCTTTGATTATCTCGTGGTGTGGTGTGGTGTCTCCCCACGTTTGCTTTCGCTACACTACGGAGGACTTTGCCTGCACTGGAGGGCTGCAGCGGAGCCCCCTTCCCATCCACCCTCCCACTTCGCCTTTCAAGAGTATGTCTCTCATTCTCTTTCCCTCTCTTGCTCTTTTTTTCTTCCTTGCTGAATATCTTCTCCCCGCCCCCTTTTCCTCTGAAAATACACGTTATTCTTATTTTGAAATTGATAAATACATATTTTGAAACTTTGGGATTGATGAAAAGAATAAAAAACTGCTTGTCTGTAATCGTTCCAATCTTGTGCATTGCTGTGTCATGCCTAGCACTTTTATCTAGCTGTGTAAGCCATTGTGCTCCTATTTTTTTGTCTGATTGAATCATTCCCCCATGGGTGTTAGAATGAATTTTCTAGGCACATTTTGTCATAATACTCTCAGGCTTGGAAAAAAAATAAGGATAATAATAGAGTAGTTGTAATGATTAAATGAGATTTCTCATGTAAGGTGCTTGGCTCAGGGCCTAGCACATAGAAGTAACTTGAAAAATCTGGCTCCTGTTAATAATGATAGTTACCAACAGCATTTCATTGCTTCTACCCATATAGTAACATCTAAAGACCCTTCCTTTCTCTCCAGATGAGGTGTCTGAAGTCTTGGCAAGCCTGGGCCGCTGGGGTTGCCCATCTGTGGAGTCTACCACTGGCCTGGCTGCTGTTCCTTCCTACCTTGTCCTCTGTCATCATCTGCCTAACTCTCATTCATCTCTTAGGTGTAGCTCAAGTGGAACTGCTTGTGATGTCTCTGCTCAGACTCCCAGGCTGCCAGTGCACTTTGCCTCACTGTTCACTAGAGCAATTATTATTTTTTCTTTTAATTACAATTGCCCGTTCTCTCAACAATTTCCTTACTCATCTGTCAACTTAATACATGAACTACACAGTTTCAGCATTGCATTCCCAATAAGTAGCAGAATGCCTAGATAAAATATTCCATCAGCATTTATCACATGAATACACTAAGTGCATCTGGTTACTTAATTTAAAAGAATCCTTTAATAAGATACGTTTCAATCTTCAGTTTCTTTTAAAGAAATGACCAAGATATCCTTATAACGATGCTTACAATATTCATTTCTTCTTAGGCATTCAAAGGTAAACTTCACCTTCGCCTAGGAAGAATATGGAAAAAAAACTGAATTAATGAGATCTGCAGCTGCGACATTTTTACTGTATGATATTTTCTTTTTTTCATATAAGATACCTCACTGGTAGGCTAATCATTTATTGAAGTTTGTTTTCCAGTACTATATTCTACAATGAAAAGAGTTCATACTGAGAGAATAAAAGCAGGAATCTAAAGGTCATGTAGATCAACATTTTAGAATATTAATAGAACATATTTAACAATGTCGTGTGAGGAAGAAGTTCTTGGGAAGTCTTTCAGAAGCTGGCCTGCTAATCTAACAAAAGTCATTTCACAAAGAATGCAGTGCATGCAGGCCAATAAAGGAACACTTCTCTTTGAGAGGCACAATTGATATTCTTTCTTTTCCCCCTACCCATCTTTTAAACAAGAGTTTTTTTTTATTAAGTTATACATGCATACATACTAAAGTTCAAACAATGCCACAGGGTATGTTACAAAATAAGAAAAAATAAGATCTTCCCATCCCTTATCTCAGATGTTTCCTTCTCAAAGGAAAATATCAGCAAGTTTTTTAGCTCCAATTTGGAATGTTTTACATTTCCCCTCTGTAGGCTCCTCCTTAGGAGATGCGGGGTAATACATACGGTCCCCTCCTGCCTCCAGGAAGTAGCCTCCCTCCCAGCCATCCCCTCTTCCCGAAGGAGCAAGTCAAGTCGCATGCTCTGCGTTCCCTTCCTTCCTTAGGATGCCACCAGCGGGTCCTCCACCCGCCATGCAGTGCGCTCGCTCTCTGCTCCCAGGCCCTCTGCTCCTCCTGGAGCTCCTCATTCTGTGTATTGACTAATTCTGCCCCAAACAAGCAGTTGGTTCTTTTCATGCATCAGGGGTGTTCCCCTGCTCATCTTCCCAAGGAAGTGCCTGTTGGACCTCGGCCAGTCTGCACAGGCACAGGCACCCCCTGGAAACTGCCCGGCAATATTGTCTTGGGATCATTTTTTAAAAATTAAATTTACTTTTCACAGAATATTTAAAAGCCATACATATGTATGGGTTCCCAGGTGACATTTCAATATGCATATACAATGTACCATGTGAAAATCAGGTTGAACATGTCTACCTTCTCCAACATTTATCATTTCTTCATGTCAAAAATATTCAAAAATCTTTTCTTCCAGATTTCTCAAGTACAGAGTACATGACTATGATCTAGAGTCACCCATACAATAGCACACCAGAACTTACTGTTAGCTGCCACCTAGACCCATCAGTCAGCCTTCCCACCCTCTCCTCTTTCCCCTGCCTCTGTCTAGTAACTGCCATTCTACACTCGACTCCATGAGATCTACTTTTTTCAGATTCCACTTATGAGGTTATGTGATGCTTGTCTTGCACATTTCCCTTAACATAATGCTCCCCATTCCCATCCATTTTATTGCGGATGACAGGATTTCACTTCTTGGCCAATGTGAATGGTTCTGTAACAAACACAGGAGTACAAGCATCTCTGACACAATGTTGTCATTTCCTTTGAATATAGACTGAGAAGTGGGATTGCTGGATCTTATGGTGGTTCTGCTATAAATCTTTGAAGAACTTCCCATGGTTTTCCATAATGGTGTTGCTAATTTATAATCCCACCACCAGCGGGACTGTCCACCCCCCATTTATCCATGTCCTTCAGCACTTGCTATCTTTTGGGCGACACTCTACCTGGAGTGATTTGATATCTGGTGTTTTGATTTGCATTTCTCCTGAAGATTGTTGTCACCTCTCTCCTACATTGGACTTTCTGTTTCTTGTATCCTGTGCTTTCTCATTTTGGAGGGCCTTAACATCTAATGCTTTCAGGAGGAAAACCTCATGGCAAATGTCCAAGACACTGAATGCCTAAAAATGTGTTTTGTTTTTTTTTTCTATTTCTTATTTATTTGGTTCTTTGACTAGGTCTGGAATTCTAATCTAGAAATTGTTATCCTTCTGATTTTTTTCTAACATTGCTCTCATATTTGGTTGTTATATTTCCAGAACCTGTCCTTTAATTTTTCTCTCTCTCCTGTTTCATGTTGCTTTATCTTTTTGTTCTGTTTTCTAGAATACTGGCTGGGTTTAGTGTGTAATTATATTCATGAGTTTTATTTATGATATTCCTAGGAGATCTTCTTGTCATCTGAGGTTGCTCTTTTGAAGGGATTGTTCTCGTTTCATGATTTCAATAAATATAGCGCACACATAGTGTTGACACAGTGAATTGCTTTCTTCCCTCTTTATTTTCCTCCTTTTCCTCAGGGGAAGGCTGTGCCGTCTTGGTTGTCCCCCATATTGGAAAGCACTGGAGTCCAGCAGCTAGGGAGAGCTGTTGACGATGAGGATATAGGATGTAGAGGCATAAACTTATAAAATTCTGCCTTCAGGTTAAGTTTCCCAGAAAACTCTGTCCAATATTGGCCAGGAGGATGCGGCTGGGCTGTTTGTTTTCTGAGCATGACATTGGAGGAGGAGCTGAGGGAGAAGTCGCACACGCAGAGTGGGTTCAGGGATCTGTGCTCCATGGGGTCCTCCTGCCTTACCTTCCTCCTGGGTTTTCTAGGTCAACAACTCATTCTCATCTCCAAATTCTGGTTTCCTCCTGAAACAATAGTGCCACCAGTCTTCCTCCAGGGTGGGGGACAGGTGTGGAGAGCAGGCCAGGCACAGCTCACTGGGTCATCTCCTCCTGCAGACCTTACAAGGAGCTGCTCTGTCAGCAGGGTCTGGGGTGGAAACGGATTGGCTGTGCCTTCAGCTGCTTCAGCAACCTTTAACACATGTCTCTTTCCTTCCTGATTTCCGAGGGGTTTTGGTTGGTGTCTTCTTATCCGTTGTTTTGTTCTGCTTTTTGATTCATGCCTTAAAACGTTTCTTTTGGTGTGGACTGTGTGGAAAATGCTGCTGCTCTTTTTATTCATGTCAGTGTGCCCTGTCCTAGATCCTGACGGATGCTGTGGTTTCCGCTGAACACTCCCCAGTGAGCAAGGACTACCACCGTCTGAGGGTGTCACTCCTTTGCCATGTGTAGTAGAGATGAAAAGTCACCTTAGGGTTCCTTGAAACCTGGGGACACTTGCTTCTTCAGGTGGGGAATGATGACTGCTGATGGTTTTGTCTTCTGAGTGTCCTGCAGGTGCTGCCCGCTGGCTTGTGAGCGCTGTGACCCAATCAGCCCACCCTAGTTTGAATGGACTGGCTGGGTGGGAACTGTGGGTGGAGGGGCAGGCCTGGAGGAAGTGGGTCACCGGGGTGTGCTCTGAAAAGGCTGCTATTCCTTCTACCCCTTCCTCCTTTCCTCCCGCCCTCACTCCTGCTCCTCCCTATCTGTCTGTCTGTCTGTCTGTGGTCTCTCCATCCTACTC